CTCCCAAATAATGCTAGCTAGATATCAACATTTGTGAGAATCTTTTGAGGTGAATTCATTTAGTATTTAAGGTCTATAGAGGATTTTTTTAATATCAGTCCCTGTTACTTTGTAAGACATGTAATTTACATGTCTTATTTCATGTGACAGATAAGGAAACTGAGTGAATATGGGACCAAATGGTATCAACAAATTACCCATGGAACCAATCATAGAATTAAGTGTTTCTCTCTTAGCATTCTCTCCCTTCTCCTCTTCAAAGCTTTAACCTGTCAAAACCCTGCAAGAAGACACTTTTAACTTCTCTTGGCTCCCCCCTTTCATTTTTTGGCTCTAGGCAGAAAGGCATATGCTTATTTTCATCAATGGATGAGCGCCTTGAAGTTACAAGATCTGATAACACACATTGAGAAAGATTACTCTGTGATCTCTGGAATCAGCAGCAGGAAGGTCACTCCACATGACTCTCACCCCCTTCCCAGTGACAAGCCCCAATGGAATCTGGCCTGTGGAGTGTCTGGGCTCTGTGCAAGACTGGTGTCAGAGCAAGTGCAAGCAAGTCCCCTGAAGCTCAGCCTTTACGACATCACGTAGCTCAAACATTGTTTCAAGGCACCACCCACCTTTCCCAGTGGGAATTGGCTGCAGTGATTCTTTTGAAAGCCGCATAAGGGTGGGAGGGGGGAAGGGTGTGAAATACGTGCTTTCAGGGGGGATTGTGGAGATGAGTGGGTTGAGTAAGGGGGGTGGGAACGACAAGCAAAGATGGAATAAATAACCACCACTGCCACCAAAATATTCTGCTGAAGGATGAGGGAGTACACCCTACAGCTGTTAGCACTGTTCAGCATATTTTGCATATTTACATATACCAAGTATTTCCAAACAGCTTTGTGTTTGTTTTAAAATCCCACACGGAGATGTCTGGTAAAGTTGTCACAGTGGAACGCTTTTCTTGGTGGCATTTGTAAAATATTTTTTAAATTCTCTGTACATCATAAGTTGAGCAGAAGAATCCTGTCACTAACCACATCGAGAACTATCTGAACTGGCCCATCTAGTGTCTGGTTGGTTGAAGACTTTTTTTTTTTTTTTTTTTAAATTATTTTGGGGTCATAAAAAGTGAAAACCAAAACATTACCCAGTGATTCTTGGTTAGCCCTGAAGCCACCAACATAGAATTTTCTTAATTGCTGTTCACTGTAATCTTTGATTAAGAAGCGTGTGTGTGTGTGTGCGCGTGTTTGTGTGTAAAATGATAACACTGGATAGATTTCTCACATAACTATTTTCATTGGGACACTCAAAACATCCACAAAACCACGCAGAGTCCATTTGAAAAAGATTAAGGACTTTCCAGCAGGAGGAATGGGGGGAGTTTAAAGCTGTATTTTCATTTTAGTAAGATCCACAAGAAAAGGATAGAGTGTCATGCTTAAAGGGGAACAGATTCTGTATTTTTTGGCAAGATATTAAATCCTCTGCTGCTATATTTGGCTCCTTGCAAATAGCCTCTGTACAAGTGCAAAGCAAAGATCAATGATGGTGTTCTTCATTCAGTCTCAGCCAAACTTGGTATGGAAAGTAAAACACTTGTGCTTCAGTATTGTTTTTAAGAGTCTTGCAGCTCGTTTACTGGTCAACAACATTCCAACGAATAGGTGTCTACTTTACACATTAAAAGTATCCAAATATTTGCTTTCCCTAACAGTTTTTCCACTGGTTAACTGATAGCAGATGTAATGATTCAAACTGAACAGAAATGTAAAGCTTTACCATGTCGACGGGATCTTATGTAGATAGGTAGCCAAATGTGTTCCACAGGTCAAATAAGATGCTTGGCTATTCAGGACACCACAGGATGGGCCTATGTTCCCAAAAAAGGAAGCAAGACAATTAAATGGTAGTTGATTGTCCATAGAGAAAACCCACTTCTGCTAGGAAGAATCTGTACCAGATGTCCTGCTCTCCACGCCCCCTGTCTGCTTGTCTTACATAAATACCACAAAACCCTTTAGATTCTAAGGCACTATATTTTAACCACGTGAAATGGTTGAAATTGCAACAGGAATTTCCTTCATATGCAATTATTTAAGTGGATGTAGATGAATTCTACAAAATGTCCATTGCTAAAACTTAATGCCTTGCTAGTTTCAGTGATATATTCATCCTACCAGATCATAAAGTTGACAAAACAAATGAAAGAATACAAAGAATAATCATGGTTGGTAGAATAATGGCACCCAAAGATGGCCACATGCTAATCCTCAAAAGCTGTAAATTACCTTCATAGGAAAAAAAAAAAAAGGATTTTGCAATTAATTACATTGTTTAGGGCCCTTAAATGGGGGATATTATCCAGGAATTTTTCAGGGAAAGCAATGTAACTTCAAAAGTCTTTAAATAGTTAAAAGGGAGGCAGAAGAACAAGTGGGAGTGATCCTGTGGGAGAACTTGACCAAGTGTTACCACCTTTGAAAGGAGAAAGAGGGCTGTTATCCAAATTCTCCAGAAACAGTAAACAACAACAAAAGAGACTCTTTTGTCACTCAGAGGACACGAGATGCCACTTTGATTTCTAACCTAGGACCAGTGCTTAATATGTGTCCTGTGGGACCATGAAATAATAAATGGAAGCTATTTTAAACCAAGGAGCTTGTGATACTTTTTTGAGCAATTATAGAAAATGCCTAGCATTCATCTACTCAAATGGGGCAGCCTATGTCAAATGCTTTCACCTATAATTCTGGGAGGGTCTACTGATTTAAATACTGTTTTCCAGATTTTGCACTTTTTACATTAAAGATTAATTTAATAGCACAAATGAGAAAGAACTCCATAGGGAAACGCTCGCTCTCTTGAAAATATTAAGACATTGGACTGGTTCCTTCCAGGTGCTCTTCCTTAATGTCAGTGAATTGTTGAGAAAGGTCTATTTTCCATACTATATGCAGCAAGTTCTGTACCAATAAAGGTAAAAGACAAAAACAAGACACACCTCTTCTAAGGGTCAATTGGTAACTAACTTTAGAAGCCTTGGATTAATAAATTCAAAAGCATACAGCCATTATGCAATTAATACAACATTTTCACTCCTGCTTCCACTACAAACATGTTACCACCCACTCCTCAATGTGACATATCAATTTTTTGGTTCTCCAAACTGACCTTATAAAAAACAATCCTTAAGATATTTTAGTTTTCAAAGACATTTAGAAGTTGCTTAATTGAATAAGAAATCAGATAGCTTTAATTGATTGTCACAAATGCAAACCAAACTAAAGGCTATATCAAAATATAAACATTAAGTTCACATTAAATTATTTATTGAACAAATTGAAAATGACATGTTTTTATTACAAAGTCCTCCATCATCTTAAATCATTGACACATAATTATGAGGCCAGCACTTAAAGAATGAATAGAAATATGAAAATGCCTCTTTCCCTAAACCCATGAAATACAGAAAAAAATTATGATTAGCTTATAAAGCCAAGTTTTATGAATTATATATTTTGTATATTAAAAATGACAACACAGCTAAGATTAATGAAATTTTCTTTCTGGAGATGCAAAATTAAAATAGCATAAAATTGTTCATAGAACTAGCAAATCTGAAATTTCACTGTAATTCAATAATCTAAGACCATATTTTTATTAATAGTCTTCAGTTTACCTAACCAAAAGACAAATATAATGTTCATCATACTATGTATTTCTTTATAAAATTATTTCCTTACCTCGACTTATATAATGAAAACAAATTATCCATGTTTTCCATTTCAACATAAACATTTTAAAAAGATACAAAGAATTCACATGAAAACCCTTCCCTATATTGTATATCCAGAAAAATGTATGGAATAGTATTTTTAAATCAGATATAATATACAAGGCAGTAAATATTCTAAGTAATTAAATCGAGTGTGTAAATAATCATCATTAATTTTTGACCTAGCCACAACATAGAAAAAAAAATGTACATCTTTATTAGTATAAAGATATATCATTAGAAAAGTTCACATCTTATGTATATACCAAATGAGCTAATTAAAGAATGTTTATTCTAAGAGTTATTAGGACAAAATTTAGTAGTCCAGAAAATTTTAAAAAGGAAACTAATTGATGTTGACCAGCCCTTGCTAAAGGGTGTCATTGCTTAATTATACTCTAGAATTGGCAAATTAAACATAATTAGTATTTCTTGAAACCAAAAGGAGATGAAGATAAATTTATTGGATCAAATAGATTTTCAATTTGAAGAAAACACTAGTTTGCGCAATCATTTGAAACAGATATATTGTTTAAACAAGTAAAAAGCACAGTGGACAATAAAAGAAAGAATAAGATATTTAACAATAATGACTATCTCGGTATTTTGGAAAATGTATAGGGTAAAATTCCCAGAGAGCACAAAAAGAAAAAAAAATACTGACAAATCATGAAAGTCTGTTCTGTGATCATTCTCTATGACCAAGTTACCAAGACAATTAACACTGTGAAGCTGTTGAGACTATGGTGCCCTCGCTGGCCCTCACCGAGGCCTCCCTCTCCAGTCATCCTCTTTTGTCTCATCTATAGATTTATCTTCAACATAGTTGTTGGACTAGAAACAGCTTTCACCTGATTTTTCTAAATGGCCTTGAACTGATTTAAAGGGCTTCTCCACCATGATTTTAAAGCATACATTCTAATTTTTCTCTCAAGTAAGCCTTCAGTTACTTGAAGATACAGAAAGATATATCTCTTATCCTGGAGGACTGAAAAAAAAAAAAAAAAAACACCAAACCTGAGTTCTGTACAGTAAAATTAACAGGCTGATTTCGGTCTTGGTCTCATACAGTTTCTGCTTTTCTGTTGTCCTTCTGCCTGCTGAGAAGGTGGTAAATCACAGGAATTCTAACTGCCATCAATACCCCTTCGGAACGATGGTTCAGTGAACTCTCTCCATCTTCAATAACTGACACAGTGTCAACATCTGCTTTTAATAAAGTTGTTTCTTTTTTTCTTCAGTGGAGAAAATCTGCTGACTGAGATCGTAAAGACTTGCTTTTTTTTTTCTCTCCTTTCATGGGGAAATTTTTTTTTCCACCGTATTTTGCAATTTTTCCTTCAAGGCAGTAAAAAAAGAAAAAAAAATCCACTAACTTCAAGAAGGATGTTTTTCCTTAGGTGCTAAGGAAGCACAAAAAAAAAGATTAACTTTGGTAATTAAATAAATCTACTACCTTAATTTTGGAGAAAATCATAAAGGGTCCCAGATGGATAAAACTTTGGAATAAGAAACTCAGAGTTGGATCTGTATACCACAAAGAGGTTAATTTATTTCAGAACTTGCACACTAACAAAAACAGGATAATTAAGAAATTTACATTTTATCTTGAATACCTAGTTGAATGCAAAGATTCTCTTGTGACACTTTCTGAGGGGAAAAGAATAATCCTTTATCTATTTGATTGCTGTAAAAATGGGTATGGAAAGTAAGATAAGAGCATTGGGGAGTTCAATTTTATTATCACTTACTCAACTATTAGACATTTGTATTAGTTGTCATTTAATAAACATCTGCGGTGAATCAGATGATTATTGTTACTAATCTCCATAGCCTACCAGATAGGTGTCATTATTCCACTTTACTTATCAAATAAATAAAGCCCAAAGTCACACATAAATACATGTGGCTAATGTAGAATTCAGAGTATGAATTAATGTTCAGTCCTATAATCTATTCCATTAATTCATCTGCTTCTCTGTTTATTCACAGTCAGAACTCAGAGTGATATTTTCTTTCCTATCACGTAAAGTCATTGTCAAATTGATTTCATTCACAAATATTATATGAAGAAAATAAAGACAAAAGAAACACTCAAGAAGGGGTAGAATACTGTTTCTTGAAATATAGTTTGCTCCCCGCTTTCAATGACAGAGCAATATTAAACCAGAGAGGAAATGCACTGTCTAGATAGATTCTGTCCTGTACTCTGCAGGTATGAGAGTAGAAAGTAGCCACTACTATTTGCATAATGAACAAGGAGCTACTCGAGAGTATCTTTTATTCCAGTGCCTAGAATGTTGTTTTTTAAGCTTATTATAAAATTAAGTAATGAATTCCTTAATTATTAACACTGAGTTCCCAGTTGAAAATTAGCAAGCAACTCCAGCTATTTTCTCTTAAAATGATTATTTAAAAAAACAAAAAAAAACATTAAAGGGAAACATTGGAGGGGATGTTTAACCTCCTTGAGAAATATTGGTTTTAAAACTTTAGAGGTTTCTTTTCGAATAACCAGTCAGGGTCTAACTTGTCCCCATTGCATTTTTCCTTCACTCATGAGAGTTTGGTGGTCAAAGTGTAGACAGATTTTTCCAAAGGCTAGTCCAAGTACTTTAGAAAGCTTGAATAGTATCATTTGTAAATTGGTTAAAGGTGACATAATTTCAAAAGAAATCGGGGGTGGGGACAGTGTTAGCCCTCAAAAAAAGTTGTTTGGAAGTCCTTAAGTTCAACAACATTTTTTGTTGTTGATGTGAGCAAAACAAACCCCATGAGTGACAGCACTTTTAACTTAAAATAAGCTCAGACTATCTGGCTGTAGTACAACTCATTCTCTATTATGACTTCTGATAGTGATAGTAAATTGATAAGGGAGGACCAGATAATTTTAGAGACGTGCGCTCTCTCATTTTGCTTAGATTCGAGTCCTCTCTCCTGAGAGCAATGTGCCAATACTACCTAAGTCTGTTCTCAAAGATATCTTACTTACAATTCATTCCAGAATGCCTAAGAATTCAGAACTCCAACTCTTTTTAGGCCCTTTTGCCAAGGAATGTTTTATCAGGTAGTTACTAGGCGTAACACAGATGTCAAAAGTCAGGAGATGCTGTCTAATTGTCTGCTTCTGTCCTACAGTCCTACTTCAGAGGAGAATGAGGAAAAGAACTTAATACTTTTCTCCTCCTCTTCACTGGGATAATCCACTTAATCTGACTGACTGCATGTCCAACACTTTTCTAAGAGAAACTGCAAAAACAGTTAATAGCGAGCTAAGGGAAGAAGAGGGAAATGAATAATCCCCAGTGAGTTATCCCAAGAGAACTCCAGAATACTGGTCTTTGAAAACTCAGGAGGACACAAGATAAACACATTTTACAGATTCACCCAACTCTGTACTTCACGGATTTAGGATACTCCAATTATATCAAATCAAATTGCTATTCAAAGTCTGGTTCAGAAGGAGCAAGGTATGGATTAATAGTACAGGAGTGTAAACAGGTTTATACTCACAGGATGTGCCAGGACAGAAAACTAAAGTATAATATGGGGGGAAGTGAAATATTCGGAAATTATTCATGAGAAATGTACATGTAGTGTTGTTAATCTAAACTGTTCATGCATATGGCATAGCAAAGTATGATGGAAAATGGCATTTCACTAACCATGGTATTTAACATGGGGGTGGCTGGGACAGAGATGGGGAACACTTGATAGCTCCTAACCAATCAAAACTTCTGTATGAGACTAACTTTTAAGTAGGACCTGTTTGTGTTAAGCAGCTAAAAGATAGAATGGATTTGACAATGAAAGTCTTAAAAATATCATTAACAGCTAGTATCATAGTCCTAATGTTTTCCAAACAAGGTCTTAATGATAATTTCAACTTCACCTTATTTAGATCCTCAGGACAATGTTAAGTTAAATCCTGGGTTTTCAATCACATACTTCCAATAATAGAATTACCAATTTTTGGCCCAATCTCAGTAACTTGTACTCTAAAATCCATTTTAATTTTTTGTCTTTTTGTTTTTAAAGAATTAGATCCACTAAAAACTGATTGAAACCCAAAAGGAAGAAAGCTTCTAAATCCATGTTTATATATTACATAAACAATATACTATTATTTTCAGTTTACATTGGTAGGCAACATTTAAGAAATAGCTATTAGTCAAAGGACTTGGTATGTGTCTAGTACACTTCAAAATATTATTCAAACTATTTCCAGGGGGGAAAAATGTCCTCTTAAAATATGATTTTTAAAGTTTCAGTGAGTGAATTAGAAAGAAGGACATGAGTCAATGTCACTAACAGGTAACCTGGTTAAATGCATTTTGTTTTCCAGCAGTTGTCTATAAACTCTAGTTGGATGGATGAGAAAGAACATTATCTAGTCTAAGAAAATTCTCCATCAAGTCAAAAGCTTATTCACTTTCTTCTTAATAAACCTCCAAATACTCTTTGGAAGAAATCAAGTTAGTGAATTTTCCCTTCTTTAGTGTGGTCACTAAAAAACTTCCTTTTCAAGTTATACATAGATCTCAAAGCTAAGTGAGCTAGCACTGAATTAAATCTTCAGTGAGATTTAATTTAAGACAATACTATATTGGCTTGGCTATGGTGTGAGTTTTATAGAAAGGAGACGATATCAAACATTTGAGGTAACCTAGAAAGCACAGAGCATATCACAGACATCTTAAAGACAAGCATTTTAAACATTTTGCCAGTGCTTCTCTGAGATCAAGTTCTTGAAACAGAACTTAACCATTTTTACAATATTAAAAAAAAAATACATCCCTCAAAAATAGCCCATTAATGCTAAATCAAACTTTCTGTATTTCTACAAAAATAGATGCACGTAGAGCTACAAAATTGTATTCCTGAAAGAATGAGCATTTTCATTTGTGGTTCATCTTTTCCTGATAAGGTGGTTGGTTAAAAAAAAATCAAAATGAAACAAAAAGTAAACCATGTATTGATAAAGCAAGACAAAAAGGGTTGCACGGTTGGCAAAGGCTCAGATGAGGGAAAAAACAAACAAAATGCTTTTCTTCAATGTCTAGGACCCACTCTGCTTCCTCAAGAAAAGGCTCCACACCACAGTCAGCTGGCTGATATTTCCTCTTCTTCCATGTCTACTGTGTCCCATTGCAGAACAGAAAGTCCCGGTAGCATTTTGTCCCAGTGGGTCCATAGATTCACAATCCAACCCAACTTGAAAATACTGTGTATTTCAGTACCATGGGGATTCCTTGCTCTTGTCTTGATGCTGTAGTCCTAGAAAAGGTAACAATAAGAAAAATGAAGTGTGAACTGCTAATGGAAAATGTGGCATAACCTCTAATGCATTAGCTACAGTAACCAAACTGATAATCTGGGCAACTGAGAGGTGCCCTAGGGCAACTGATCTTTAAAAGAATTGTGTGATTGAAGTCAATAATTCTCAAAAAGCCAGGGAGCACATACTGGGTGATTATAGCCCTTGAAGGGGCCTTCCTGGTGGCCAGGAGCTAAATCTCAGTGCTGTCAGTTCTGAGTTCATCCCAGCAGAGAGGTGATCCGCATGGCACAGCAGACCTCTCCTCTCTCACCGGCTGCTCCCCTTAGTGTATTTCAGTCGATCTGCCTGTTCTGCTCCCCACTCTGTCTCTGGTGAATCCTCTCAGCCCACTCCACCCCACCCTCACACCTCTGGCCTGCACCCCAGTTCTTCTATGCAAAAATAAATAAATCTTTAAAAAAAGAAAAGAAAAGAAAACCCTAGCAGACCAGTGCTATTTGTACAGTACAAATTCTTTACTGTGGCTTTTCTTTTACTGGATTATAAGTGAATAAAAAAATAAAGTAAAATTATATACTAAGACTATTTATAACTTCAAAAGAAGATGCTATGAGGGGCGTGGGGGGTGTTGAGAATCTAGGGGTATTTAGTCTGCATTTTAATGAATCCTTCCAGCAACCATCAATGTGATATTTTTGGACTCAAATTGAATAAATGCTAGTGCTAGTATGAAATGTATCTGTAAAGGGACTGCTAGAAATTATGTTAAATAATTAGACATGGTAAAAAATTAGGTTTACTGTAGCCAGTGAATATATATATATATATATATATATATATATATTTGGTTCATAGATAGTAGCACAAACCTATATTCTATTTATAATTTTACTTATATTTATTTCATTTCTCCTGAAATTGTTTTAGATGTCTTCTAGAAACCTATACTTCATAGCAAGAAAATAAATTTATCAGTTAATAAAAAGTCACAACAAAAGGGAAATAGGAATATTAGAGAATTCCAAATCCTAATTAAAATGATTTAGAAAAATAATATCAAGAGGAGACACACAAAAAATGAGATACTGATCTGGTTGTACTATAGAAAATGGATCAATTTCTGACATTTGCTCAATGCAGGGTGTCTTCACCTTATACCTACAGGAAGTAATTTTCTTCAGTCTTTGACATATGATTCTTAAACACAGTTGTTTACAAGAGTGAAAACTCGGGTTTATGCAGATTATGCTGTTTAGAACCAAATACCAAAACCTGAAGAGAAAGCTTTTAAACGACAGGTAGAAATGCAACGAGATTATTGTTGAATGGGAGCATGATCACAAGTTATTTTCTTGATCTTTGAGTTAAAATTGTTGTTAAGTCTGGATTGAGTATCATATAACTGAATAGTTAACAACCAGTATGGTTTGAACTTGTAATTATTATTAACACAATTGCAGTGATGTGATTTCATGCCGCTCAACTTGTCAAAGAATTTATAAAACAAAAAGTGTCACTACTAAAACAGACACATTTAGTTGTTGATGGCAGACATTAAGACCATCTGCAACAGTGATAAAGAAAGGGAGAGAGAACAGATACAAGACAAAGAACCTCATGGAACCACAAGTCACTATGTGCTCTAACATTTGTGTAATAAGAAAACACACACACACACGCACACACACACAACTTTCTGAATGCCAAGATTGATCCCATCCTAATTCAGGTTCTCAAGTATATTAGAATCTTGCTCAGATACAGAATAAGATTACCTTCCCATTTGAAAGGAAAAGGATGTTAAAGAGATGTAAGAGGAGGAAGAAGAAATGAAAAGATCTGGTGTATACCAATTCATTCTGTATTTGCTTTATTCATTTTCAAATGATTTCGTGGTTAGCGTAATACTCAACCTGACATAGTCCCTGCTGGGTAACTTTTATAATTCAAACCACCAATCTGCTGTCTGCATAAATATTTTTTTCATTATTAAAGCATCTCCTCATCTGTATGACTCAGTGTTTCCACACTGAGGCCCCATCAATCTATAGAATGTCAGCACTGCAAGTCATGAATAGTGTTGGAATCATCAAGTAGTTCCAGTGTGTTTTTTATCTTAAAAAAAAAAAAAAAAAGGTAATCCAAAGTTTGCTTTGTAAAGACATACGAATCCTTCAAAAATCATGTTAGCCTTTTTCTAAGGACAAGTAATACAATATTTAAGATAGGTCTAGATTTTCCAACCAGAATAACAGAAGGCATTCATTCTCTCATTATAACTATCTCTTTGGTGGTTTTTGTTTCCAAGTCTTTACATTATTACAATGCAAATCCTTAAAAAAAATCATTTATGATTTTATTTCATCTCGAAAGATGCTTAATTTCTATTGTGATTCCTATGGTTTAGCTTCTTAGTAGTGATGGGTAAAACAAAAAAAAAATCAAACCATTGCTTTAATTATAGTTATTTAAAGCTATAAATTTCAAAATAAGTGTAAGTAAAGCACATGAAAACGAGCTGCAAACAAAATCACCTACTACTACTAATTGCAACATGAACATCTTTGGTAACACAGTGATTAAAGTCTCAGTGCTATCAAGCTATTGCCAGCCACTATGGCATGAGTTCAACCCCCAGCCAGGGATGACCCACATGGCTTATCAGACCTCTCCTGTCTCACCTGCTGCTCCCCTCAGCAGTATATTTCAGTAGATCTGCATGTTCTTCTCCCCCACTGTCTCTGGTGAATTCCCTCACTCCCCACACCTCTGGCCTACACTCCAGTTTTTGCATGCATAATTAAAAAAAATAAGTCTTAAAAAAAGATGCAACAGAGAAACAGGAATATTATCATTCCCGTTAGATAACTGATAAATACATCAAAAGTTGTTCAAGAGCCAGTCAGAATATTTTGTCCCCTTTCCAAACAGGGTTAAAGGGGACAAAATTGTTAGTCAGTTCTTTTCACATGATTTACATATATTTGGGATTTCCAGAACACAAAACCCACTCTGATATAATTTTGCTCCTATTCAGATCTCCGATCTTTTCGCCTTTTTTTTATCTTAACTCAGATGTATGTGATATTAGCTCATAACATGTCCTGAAACCTCTCTACTATGATCTCAAATTACCTATGTATACCTTCTTGATGTTAATACCCCAGTTTTAGTTTTATTGAATCTATGAAATTTTCAGTAGGAAGGAAAATAAACTTCATAAAAATTACCAAACATTTGCTTAAAGTTGAGTATGTCAAACATTGTGCTAATTATTTTACATGAAATGCCCCATTTACTGCTTCCAGCCATATTTATAGAGATATCCATTCTACACATGAAAAGTGGAGACTAACAGAAGTCATACAACTATTAATTGGTAGAGTTAAGACTGAAAACGAGGGCCCTCCCTGTTGGCACAACATACTAAAGTGCAGCACCATAAAGATATCCACAGCCACCGCAGCAGGAGTTCGACCCCTGGCCAGGGAAGAGACCTCTCCTGGCCCACCTGCTGCTCATCTCAGCAGTGTACTTCAGCACATCTGCCTGTTCTACACCCCACTCTGTCTCCAGTGAATTCTCTCACCTCCTGCACTTCTGGCCTGTATCGCAGTTCTTATGTGCATAAATAAATCTTATTTAAAAAAGAATTAAAATGAAGTGGTCTGAGATCCACATAAACTGTCTTAACCACAAAGCGCATAACCCCTGTCCGAAGGACTGGTTGGCTGCAGGTGGTGAACTATGCCACTAGCTACTCCTCCACAGTTACTCATGCCAACATCCTTTTATAAAATCAATTCAAGAAAAAGTTAACATTCTCATAGTTCTTTTTATACTGCTTCGATCCACCCTGATTTAAAAGAACTGATATCAAGTTTAATAAAAATAGTTCTCCTGATTTTGTTTTTACAATCATCTGCCATGTTCTTCCTAAGACATTGCAAATGATACACTGTAGTTTATTAGACTTGGATGACAAGTGCGTGTCACAGGACATTACATTAACTGATGTATCTTTAAAATAATCATGCCTCCTTGCACCATTGCCCAGTGTAAACACGAAAGACACTGTGTGAACTTAAGGCTTATGACGTGACTTATAAATGGTCTAGAGAACAAAGAAATCAAATAGTTAGCATCCGAATTTGAATCTAAGATTCAGTTGAATGTTAACCTGAAAGCTCACAGACCAAGTTCTTCATTCA